CCCGGCTACCGCTTCCACTGGTATTCATCCTAATGGGACTTCTACCTCTATTGGATTTAATTCTGGATTGATTTCAGTTCCAAGACTCCCTTTTCGTCAGCCTGAGGTAGATTTTCTAAAAGTCTTTTAGTTACACGCCTAATAGTGCTTCCGGATAAATTCATTAACTCTCATAGATCTAAATCTAGAAAGGATTGACCTTCATTCATTAATGATAGGCATTATCTTATGGTTTGAAGTTGGTGCTCATTTATGGTTAATAGTAATATATGCGAAGAAAATTTGAGCTTTGAGGAATCTCTTATTTCATAATTGTTGAGCTTATTTCCATTTCGAGTGAAAATGTTGAGTAAAGAGATTCGAAGTTCGGTTCCATCAAAAGACGACGGCGGATTCCTTTTGACCAGCTGTCGATTGGCTTTACTGTAAGATTCATGCTGACGCTGTTTCCAAGGTTATTTCCTTCGATTTTGGTTATATATATATATATATATATCAGTTTACAAGTCACTTCCTCGGCAACAAAGCAAGTGTAAACGTTTGACAACGGTCAAGCAATACCGAAATTTAACTGTTAAAAAGATTAGAAGCAAGCCATTGAAGATCACAGTTTGCCTGTTCTTTTTTTTATTGTACTTTTACTAACTGAGATATGGCTTTCTTTGTTCATTTGACTGAATCTTGCGTGCTTATGCTGTTCTGTTCAGTAAGGAACTTTGCTTTATAAACGGGTCCTCAGGTTATCTGGTTTACACATTGAGCTAAGAGAAGAATCACTATTTTGAAGAGAAGTTTTATCCCCTTTGAATTGAAGCTGATGGTAAGAGGGTAATGATTCTAAACATGTATCTAAACTGTTTCAGACCTATTTAAAGTCGAGAGAAATACAAAGAGTGCTGACTTGCATGGCTTTCCTTCAGGACCTCAATTCCTTTGGATATCTTTGATAATATTTGAAAAAGGGAAAGATGAAATACATCACAAGACACTGAATTTCCCTTAAAGAGTGATGGCTTAATATGGATCCCCAAGTTCTACAAAACCTTGTGAAATAGTTAACAGATAGGGCAAGCAGTAATTAAAGTAAAAGATGATCATACCAAATAGTGAGACATTTTGACTGTCAGTAAATACACAATTTTTGTTACTCTACATTAGCTAACCTACCTTAATTACCTTAAATATTAGTAAGAAATTGTGCAATATTGTTTTACAAGTAGTAACTGAGTAAAACTGTATATTAGTTTTTTATCAATGCTGAAATAAACACAGATCTTGATGACTGACTCAGACTTTTAAACCTTACCTAAATAGAGGTTATTCGACCTTGTTTTCGCACCATGGTCATATTGGTAGGAAGACTTAGAGAAACTCACCTAGTCCGGGGTCCATTGTCTGAATAATCATTTCCAAAGTTGAACCGTACACGTGGTACATTCCCAGACGTTTCGTCGTCATCGTCAGTGAGTATCGCCATTCTTACCACCATACAACAACTCGTCAAAAAGACAAGTGAAGCCGATCCTTTGACCAAACGTGTGCTAAACAATTGTGGTATCTCTTTATCTGCCCTGGGTTATTCGTGTTTCTGGTAGCATCCTATCATTCCTTTACCATTACAAATTTTACCGTGCTTATTTAGATATACTGTGGTGTGCTCCTTTTTCGACATGAAACCTTCACACTCCAACTGTCGTTCTCCCCCCTTTCATCCTTGTGCAGGAAATGTTGATCAGAGCCTGCTTTATTATTATGCAGTCTTATTCCAGTCTCTCTCGCTCCGTAAAATTCGTCTGCTCCACTCCTTGTTCACCTATTTCACCCGACTCGTGCTATCACATCTGTCATACTCGAAGCGATATTCGCACTCACCTGCGTCTGGGTGACTAATTCGATGCGCAAGTCTTTGAGTTTCATGATCACTCCTTTGTTACATGTACCACGCCTACCGTCAGCCAACTAGCTCCGGTCAT